CACACACACACACACACACACACACACACACACACACACACACACACTGATAGGTTGCTGATCTCTTCCACAGTTGCCTTTAGAGAGGAATGAAATGTTATAACAAGATCCAGACTGGCACCAGTGTCCCAAGAAAACTGGGACAGTAGAAGTGCCATGAATACAAAGAACACATACATTGGTGGTCATTTGGTGGGAGAACCAGGGGATTCTGGTCTTGGACAAGTTCAAGAGAGAAGGTCAAGATTCCAGAAATTCCATAGGGAAAGAAGTATCTGGGGAAATGCCTATGGACCTGAGGCTAGAAGCCCTGCAGAATTGTGCCTCTGCAGCAGGAAGTGGACCTTCAGGAAGATGAGAGACACAGATGGATGTACCAGCCCCATGACAGGCACAAAATGTAAGGCCTGTTGAGTGATGACTTCCGTAGCCTGGAGTATCCAGTCAGCCTGCCAGTCTCCCAACTGAGTCTAACAGCAGGGTTCCATTTTCAAAACATGTACTTAACTGATACTGAAAGTCCTCACAGTAACACTGTAACCAGAGGCCAACCATAGATGGTCTTATCATACATACTAGGACACTGAGACCCTAGAGAAGGCATTCCTTCTTTGCAGAGGAACTCCCTCAGAGTGGAGGGCTAGATCCTGGAATGCTGACCAGAACCTAACTCACTGTCTAGTACTCTCTCTGTTACAGCTAACATGCCAAACTAGTGGTCACTCTCTAACTGCATGCCCTCATGCTGAGTAAACAGAACCAATTGCACATTCTGACATTCCTGCAGGTCAGAGTCTCTGGCTCAATTGACCATAAACATAGGACTTTTTAAGACAGGATCTCAATTAGCCCAGGCTGACTTGCTATACAACTAAGGATGAACTTTAACTTCTGATCCTCCTGCTTCCACCTCCATAATGTTGGAATTGCAAGCATGCATCTCTATACCAGGTTCATCTGATCACTATACCAGGTTCATCTGATCATTGCCAAATATGAGGATTGACTGTCTGGCCCTGGATTTTTACCATTCCCAAGTCTTCACAATGGCTCCAGACCAGAC